ATGTATTGGGCGGGGGAGGGGGCGGGTAGTGCTTTTGTTTTCTTCAGATAAATACCTAGAAGTGAAATCACTGAAGATATGGTAGTTCTATTTTTAATTTTTCGAGGACCCTCCATGCTGTTCTCCATAGTGACTGTATCAATTTGCATTTCTACCAACGATGTAGAAGGGTTCACTTTTCTCCACGTCCTCACCAACATTGGTTACTCGTGGTCTTTTTGATGACTCCCATTGGACAGGTGTGCAGTGATGTCTCAGTGTGGCTCTGATTTGCATTTCCCTGATGAACAAATGTCCGTCTAGTCAAGGCTATGGTTTTTCCCGTGGTCATGTATGGATGTGAGAGTTGGACTGTGAAGAAAGCTGAGTGCCAAAAAATTGATGCTTTTGAACTGTGGTGTTGAAGAAGACTCTTGAGAGTCCCTTGGACTGCAGGGAGATCCAACCAGTCCATCCTGAAGGAGATCAGTCCTGGGTGTTCATTGGAAGGACTGATGCTGAAGCTGAAACTCCAGGACTTTGGCCACCTCATGCAAAGAGTTGACTCGTTGGAAAAGACCCTGATGCTGGGAGGGATTGGGGGCAGAAGGAGGAGGGGAGGACAGAGAATGAGATGGCTGGATGGCATCACCGACTCGATGGGCATGAGTCTGAGTAAACTCCGGGACAGGGAGTGATGAGGCCTGGCGTGCTGCGATTCATGGGGTCGCAAAGAGTCGGACACAACTGAGCAACTGAACTGAACTGATGATCAGTGACATTGAGCATCTTTTCATGTTGGCTCTCTGTATGTCATCTTTGGAAAAAATGTCTAATTGGATCTTCTGACCTTTTTTTAATCATATTGTGTGTCTTTTGCTGTTGAGTGGTATGAGTCCTTCCTATATTGGGGACATTAATCCCTTGTCAGATATATGATTTGCAAATATTTTTTCCATTCAGTAGACTGCCTTTATGTTTTGTTGCTTGTTTTCTCTGTGTCGTTTTTCAGGTTGATGTAAAAACAGCCTCATTTGCTTATTTTTGCTTGTGTTGCCTTTGCTTTTGGTGACATATTCAAAACACCATCACAAGACCGATGTCAAGAAGCTTACCACCTATGCTTTCTTCTAGGACTTTTACAGTTTCAGGTCTTACATTCAAGACTTTAAACCATTTTGAGTTAATCTTTATGTATAGTGTAGGGTGGTGGTCCAGTTTCATTCCTTTGGCTGTCAAGTTTTTCCAACACTATATAATGGAGAGACTATCCCTTCCCCCGCCATACATTACTGACTTCTTTGTCCTAAAGTAACTGACCATAAGAGTTCATTTCTGGGCTCTTTATTCTGTTCCATTGATCTATGTATATGTCTTTATGCCAGTACCATACTGTTTTAATTACTATGGCTTTGTAATATTGTTTTAAATCAGGGAATGTGATGCCTCCAGCTTTGCTCTTTTTTCTTAAGACTGCTTTGGCTACTCAGAATCCTTTGTGATTTCATACAAATTTTAGGATCATCTATTCTATTTCTGTTAAGAATGCCACTGGAATTCTGATAGAGATTGCACTGAATCTGTAGATACCCTTGGGAGGGGTGGATATCATAATATCTGAGTCCACAATAAGCAGAAGTAACATTTACAAAGTTCCATGTGCCAAACATGAGGTCAAACCTCTACCTGCCTGCCCCAGGGAGCCTCTCGGGAACACTATTTAAGGGCCCTTTTATTCTCTCCATCTTCTATTCAGGCAAACGGTGCTTGGCTCACTCATCCACTTAGTGGCCAAATGAGGACTCTGTCCCCACGGCCGGACTGGCCAGCCTCTATGGCAACCTCATGCACAAAATGAAATTTGCTTTCAGAATCATGACCCAGACAAACTGCAAGACTCTTAGTCACACAGAAAGATTAAATCTCCCCCACTGGCTATTGATTCCTTTAACAAAAATAACAGCAGAGTTCATGCATCTGACAAGGACTTTCATAACTGAGGAAGAAAAAAAGGGGCCCAGTCAATGCTTGAGTTCCCAGCAAAAGGGGAGGGGAGACACTCCATGTTCTATATAAACAAGGTTTTGTGGCAATACTGGACTCCATGGTTAATCTTCCCTATTCCAGCTCCTCTCTCTTTATATTTTGTGGAAATGTGAATACTTTTCATCTCAAATAGGCTCTGGAGGCCCATGAATTTTTCAAGATGATTAATTGAGTTTGTGAACTAAAGATTAAAAACTGCATCTAAAAACAAAGGAAGTTATTAGTAACTAGATTTGTTGCTTCCTCCCCCTTGAAATTCTGACTTAAAAACAAAATAAGTGTTACTGTCACTATTACCCACTGTTACTCTAAATGGCCATGTATCAGGCTTCACAAGTAGATTTTCAATTTACAGGCTGTTTACTGGGGCTTTTGGTGTCCCAATTTCATCTCCTTCATGGAACATTAATAATTCCATTTATTTATCTTAGTATCTTCAAAATTCTATTTTATTATACAAAGTTTGACTTAGAGGGTCTAATAGTACACATACTTTTGCAAAATCCGAACAGTAGATTGGAGGGTGGTATAACTCCCCTTTCTAAAAACAGCCTAATCTGAGGTTACAGAGGAGTAACACTGAGAAAGATATTTAAGCATGAGAAAGTCAGAAAGAGAATTATCCTAGGTATGGAGTAAACATCAACCTTGTGTTGTACCAAAAAAGGAACTTTTCAGAGGCACTTGGAGGATCATCTGGTACAACATTTTCTAAGAATTTTTCTGAAACATTAGGTTCACAAATGCTAAAGGACATCATAAAAAGTAAAAACGAGGGGGAGGGTTGTCAAATCATTACAGGAAATTTTGAACTTAACTGAATTAAACAGTAATTTAGAGCACTTAAAGACAATGTAATTCTCCAAGCAGGAGATAAAATGTTCTTTGTTTCCCAAACCTATTTGACATGGGATTCCTCTTTTCTGGAGCATCTCACAGGCTTGATGCTTTAAGGAAACAGTTGGGGACCACTGAACAAGTGGATCCATCTACACAGAGATGGAATGGGGTACAGGTGGTGGCCCCAGGCCTGGAAGGCAGGTCCCCTGCCTCCCCTCCATCTGATCTTCCCAAATGGCGAGTCTTGCAGCCTTCACTGGGCCACGTGCATGTTATCGTTACTTCTGTGCAGAGACTGAACATATATACATAGTCTCTGTACACAGCCTCTTTCCAGTCAATCCACTGCCATGCTTACTGAACCCTGGAGGCCCATAGCAGCCACGCACTAATTCACAACAAAAACTGCTACAGCTTACTGCATGCTGACTGTGTCAGGCAGCACACTAAACATCTCTATGACAGAAACAGATAACTGCCCACATTTCCCAAATAAGGAAACTGAGCCTTAAGGCTGCCCGAGGTCAGTGAGAAAGCAGAAGATGGAGACTCAAACACAACCTTTCATCACCACACACAGACACACTCACACACACACTCTCTCACACACACACATACACACACTCACACATGTGCGCGCACACACTCACATACACACACACACATATATACACATACACACACATACACAGATACACATGCATACACACATATGCATACACACAAATACACATACACATATATACACACACACGCATATACACACAAACACATACACAGACACACACATACACATACACACATATGTGCGCACACATACACACAAGCACACATATACACATACACACACACACACACACACACACACACAAGAGCCCGCCTCTCAGGTCAAGCACTCAATAAATGTTCATGATAGCAGGTGATGAGTGACACGATTAAAGCATCAGGGAGGGGTGTTAGAAACAAAAAAAGGTGTTATCAAGGTGTGGAGGGTATATGTCTTAAGTGCCCTGCAAGGCTGAACTAATCATTTTTAAGAACTCTGATTTTCTCCTGATTCTTGCCTCTCTACCCAGCCAGGCTCCTCTTCCTCTGAATTTATACCAGTGGGAGGTATTCCCTCAAGACCACTGTCCCTGCCCTTAATGCCTCTGATTTTGATCTAATGTCAAATTCTTCAAGAAAATACAGGATGCAAAATACTTCCCAGAAAAAAATGGCAACACAAGAAGCCAGCTGCCTTATGCCATAAATTTTATCTTGAAAAAAAGCCTCTGCTTCTCTTTTAAGTGGTAAATTAATCAAAACTATAAAATCGGCATTCATTCTTTACTTACTATTCAAAAATGAAGGCGGGTTTCCCAGTTTGTGAGCAATAATTATGATCTGTGACTATCAGATATTCCCAGCATTGTGGCAGCTTTTGTACTATGAAAGGGGCATACAACACCATCTCTAGCCTATGAGGTGCTAACAACTTAGGTGCAGAGGTCAGAGACTCAGAGCATGTCAAAACCCAGAGGATGTCAAAATACTGAACATGTCAAGACCCAGAGCACGCCAAAGTGCAGAAATCAAGGTGCGCCAGATTTCACAAGGCAAACCTGTGCGGCAAAGGAGTTGAGCCACAGAACCTGGGGCTAAGCTGGAGAGATTAATGAGGGCTGGGGGAGCTGAGAGCATGAGCCTGAAGCATTCTATCCCAGGAGGACAGTGTGGGGGCTGTAACGGCTCATTTAGGGGAGCGGTTATCAGACCACACCTCCAGCCGTGACCCATAAGGGGGGATATTTCTCCCTGGCGTTCCTGTTTACGCCCTTCCCAGGTGGTGGAGTGCTTCTGGCAAGGTGATAGGGGTTGCCTGTTGGTCCCCAGACACAAAGGCTTCCCTAAAACACACATGAAACCTGTTGGAGTGAGGATTAATTGGAAGGTCCGGCCTCCTTTACCTCGGAGAAACCTCATTTCCACATAAAACTCACCCCGGAAGTTAGCAGAGTTCCTTCCTTTTTCTAGGGGGCTCCATGCCTTTTTTCTCCTCTTCTCACCACATTTCCGTGAGACAGGAAACACGGGCAGCCGTGTCATCACTTCACACGTGCAAGGACAAAGTCAGGCCAGACACTGCAGACAGAATGGAGATGACCCAGCACCCTGAGGGGGCAGCTGGCCACCGTGAGCACAGCCTGGGCATCCGGCAGAGCTGCTTCATCTTGTGTGGCACGACGAGGGTGCTGCGTTTACTCAAGAGAATGCCCTTGCTGGAAGCACGGACACGGAGCGCCGGAGGATTAAGTGCCCCCAAGTCGAGAGCATCTATAATTCACTCCACGGTGCTTCCGCCACAGCGTCATGGCAGCACGCGAACAACTGCTGCAAGGAGGCGGTGGCTGGTGGGGGGCTTACATTATTCTATTATTCTTCCATATACCTGCAGTTTCTGATAACACGTGTAACAAAAAACAAAGCAGACCATGCCTTCGCATGGTCCCGCAGGTAGCACTGTGTATAAATTACAGAAGCAGATCCCAGGATCACTGAACAGTGTTTGCTGGGGGCAAGAAGGAGACGCAGGCGTCCGGGTTCCCCACCCCATGAGGACAACGCAGAACAAATGCGCATCATGTCTGCTGGAGTCCGCACAGAAGGCGCAGTCCACCTGCCGGGTCAGGCTCCAGCCGTCATCCAGCTGGATGCGGCCTGCCCTTGAGCCTGCCCCAGCTGTCAGAAGACCTGCCAAGGCAAACAGCGCCGCCCCGGCCCGTCACAGCCTCTGCCTTCTCTTCCTGTCCAGCACTTTTATTTTTAACCTCAGACCTGCCACGGCCTCCACTCGTTCACCCTCGCCCCCCGGGCCCTGCTACACAGTCTCGGCCGCTGCCACTGCCGCTGCCGCTGCCTGAAGGTGAGGCTGAAATGGCAGGCCCAGCCCCAGCGTCCGCGTTGCCTGTCGCTCCCAGCTCATCTCAACCTCGCCACCTGCCCCATGGAACCGACTAAGCAGGAAATCCCACACATTCAGGCTGCAGGAGCCGGAACTGCTCCAGGAGACCAGAGTCCTGGGCGGTCAATGGCGTGTGACCCGAGCCTCACTGGGAACTTTCTGCTGCTCAGCTCAGAGGCACTCCCCAGATCTGTTTTGACATGAAGTTACAGCCTACTCACAACAGAAAGGTCACAGTGCACATGCATACATGTGTGTTTACAAAGGGTGTGCTTGTATGCGTGCATGTTCTACAACGGGTGTTGTGTGAAGTGTGTGCACAGGTTGTGCGTGAACAAGTGTGCAGAAAGCCTCACACTGCTCTGTCACAAGAAGCAGGCTGGTCACCCTCTTGGGCCAGACTGATGTGTCAGGAAAATAGCTGAAAACGTTAGGATCAGGCATGTCAAGATTTCTTTTAATACTTACTATGCTTACTACTTAACAGTGACGAAGAAAGGAGACCGGTTACCCTTTTCTGACTAATTTAAACTGAAGAATATATACATAAAGCTATATACCATTTTATTTTTTAATAGTAATTGTATTTTGTCTCCTGTGCCATACAGTAGGTCTCTGCTGGCTGTTTATTTTAAACACAGTGTGTGTACATGCCAATCCTGAACTCACCATTCCCTCCCCGCAGTCTTCCCCCAAGGTAACCATAAGCTCATTCTCTAAGTGAGTGAGTCTGTTTCTGTTTTGTAATTAAGTACATTTAGATTCCATCTATCAGTGATACCATATGATAATTGTCTTTCCATGACTTACTCCACTTAGTATGATAATCTCCAGGTCCATCCATTTTACTGCAAATGGAATTATTTCATTTTTTCAATGGCTGAGTAATAGTCCACTGTGTGTACATACAGCAACTTTTTTATCCATTCATCTGTCCATGGACATTTATTTTGCTTCCATGTCTTGGCTATTGTAAATAGTGCTGCAATGAACATTGGGGTACACATATCTTTACAGACCATGTTTTTCTCCAGATATATGTCCAGCAGTGGGATGGCTGGATCATATGGTAGCTATATTTTTTTAAAGAATCTACATAAAATAGCAATTTTAAATGGTTGGGCTTCCCAGGTGGCGCAGTGGTAAAGAATCTGCCTGCCAGTGCTGGAGACTCAGGAGACTTGGGTTTGATCCCTGGGTCAGGCAGATCCCCTAGAGAAGGAAGTGGCAACCTGCTCCAGTATTTTTGCCTGGAGAATTCCATGGACAGAGGAGCTCGGTGGGCTGTATAGTCCATGGGGTCGCAAAGAGTTAGACACAACTGAGCGACTGAGCACACACACAATGGATGACTTAAGAGCGACTCATTTTTCACAAAACACGGTGAACGAGGAGCCCATGTTATATGGTCTCTGAGGTGACTGAGTCGTAAAAATATTAGGTTTAAAATTATGCTTCCCTCTGTAAGTTGCATGAAGGTCTGGGTACTCTCTTGGCCACCGCGTGTACCAATGTCCACGGCGGACCTCTGTGGAATTCATGAGCACACGAACCAGCTTGGGCTCCTCCCAGGGAATGCACCTCGCTCACCCTGGTGGCCAGTCTGCTTGGCCGCTGCCACCACAGACCCTCGTTCCTCACTGTTCCGCGGGTGAGCGTGTCCTTGGGGCCTCTCTCTGGGGCTCGCAGACAGCTGCCCACCCGCTGCCTCTCCACACGGGCAGCCCCGGGGCCACGTCCTCCTCTCAGAGGACACCAGTCACAGCGGACTCACCTTGTGTAACTTCAGCGTCTGTGTGAAGGCCAGTCTCCAAGCAGAGTCACGTCCTAAGTACCGAGGTCAGGACCTCCACATACAGATTTGGGGCATGCTTCGGCCATAAAGGGCTGGCAAAACACCCTTCTCTTCCTTAGAGGTGAACTGGCACACAGACAGCTCTGGGTTCTCAAGGGCAGGGTTTGAACCACAGGTCCAGGAATCGTTCACAGTTCACTGGGCTAGCGACGAAAGTGGGAAAGCAGAAAAATGTCAGTAAACCCTGCACCTCGGTGGGTGGACTCGGGTATGCGTTCAAGCACTGGACGGGATGGGACTTTATGTGAGACGTGGAGCTGGGCTTCTGCTCCAGTGATTCCAGAATAGATGAGGGGAATGAGTGCTTGGGGGAGACCCTGACACTTAGAAAGGTGGTCACATTGGGAAAACAGAATGTTTCTACACAAAGTTTTCACACTGTGGTGCTGAAGAAGACTCTTGAGAGTCCCTGGGACTGCAAGGAGATCCAACCAGTCCATCCTAAAGGAGATCAGTCCTGGGTGTTCATTGGAAGGACTGATACTGAAGCTTAAACTCCAATACTTTGGCCACCTGATGGTAAGAGCTGACTCACTGGACAAGACCCTGATGCTGGGAAAGATTGAGGGCAGGAGGAGACGGGGATGACAGAGGGTGAGATGGCTGGATGGCATCACTGACTCAATGGACATGAGTTTGAGCACGTTCTGGGAGATGGTGAAGGACAGGGAGGCCTGGCGTGCGGTGGTCCATGGGGTCGCAGAGTCGACACGACGAGTGACAACACAAAGCCAAAATCAGGCGCGTCTGGGCTGCGTCTCCACCAAGGCCTCAGCCTGCTGCCCACTTCCTGGAAGAGCCGTGGCCCAAGTCCCCTCACAGACAGGATCCTAGAGACAGAAGAAGGGGACTGGAAAGAGGGGCTGTCATGAACCACAGGCCCCAGGGGCAGACCTACCCAGCACTGACCCTGTGAGTCAGGGCCTGGGCGGTCCACCCACCTCTGCTGATGGAGGGACTCCATTCCTGCCCTCAGTCAGGGGACTCTCTCCACGGACTTTCTAAATTTTATATTATCAGATTGAATTTACTCTCTCCTCATTAGAAGTACTTATAAGAGAGTCTCTTCTATTTAATACTTATAAGTTCATGAGAGAACTAAAAATCTCTCAATCCTTCCAAAATACAATATAATTTTAACCATTTCTCAACAATTCAGCCCTTAAGAAAAAAAGAAAATCCTTGATAGTTTTCTAAATGGGAGTAATTTCCTCTTTAATGATCTTCGCTGCCATCTTGGTTTCAGGCAGGGTTGAGCATCGCCACAGGCCACATAAATACTGTTTTCACTGACTGCTGTGTAAATAGTCTACATCACCCCACAACCCAGCGGCCCCCACCCATCTCTGCATGGCTCTGGGCCGTCTGCCGACCTCACAGGAGTGCACCCCCAACCCCGTGACTCCGAGGTTCTGGCTGAGCCACTGTGAGGGTCGGGAGGCAGAGGCCTAAGGAGCTGCATAAAGGGACCTCCCCCAGAGCCCCCACCCCGCCCTGGCACCTGCCCCCGGCCCTGGCTAACGGCTTCCTGCTGGAGCAGCCTCGGGGTCTGTCCCCTAAACTCCCTCAGTGCCCCCACTTAGTAAGGCCTTCACTGTGGTCTCTGCATTTGCTCTCTCTGCTTCCGCCAGAGCCTAATCCACAAGACACCACTGCAGCCAACACGGAAGAGGCCTCATCCAACACCTTGTTCTTGTTGCTTCACAATAAGTAAGATGCTTTCCGTGTAAAAATGTGGTAAAGGCACTGGGGCCTGACTAACGTGAGCCCAAGAGAAGCGCCGTCGCTGCTGCAGTTTGGCATCTGCAGATGGCGCATCTCGGGCACCACGGCCCCCAGCACAGCCCCCTTGCATCGGGACTGCCTTAACAAGACAGGCCTGTCACTCAGGGCTAGAGACGCGCACAGTGCGGTGGCCACACAGGCCGCCTGCCCAGGCCCACAGCCCTGGGAGAGGGGCGGTCCGCGAGGGCAAACAGCCCCCGGAGCCTCCTCTCTTCCCTCCTGCACCTTCACGTGGTTCCATTCCGCGGAGAGACACTGCGTCCTCTCAGGAGTCGCAGATAAAAACAACAGTGTGGCCTTCAACCAAACCTCCCTGCCTTCAACTCATTCGAGGAGCCCCTGCGAGCCAAGCATTTTGCTCACAGTGACTCACAAAACCAGCACCCACCTGAGAAGCCTTTTTACATAAGGGCAGAGACAAGAAGTCAGTCGTTGATTTAAAAAACAAGAAAGCGCACTTTTTAAAAATCAGACAAGTCTGATAACAGGGTGAAATAAAGTCACTACTTCTGGGACCTAAAAATAGTCTCCTGGAGAAAAAAACTCTCTGGCTGTTGATCTAGTAGGAAAAGAGATATCTGTTTAAAGCAGTGAGTCTCAAATTCCTGATTTCCCTGTGAATGCATCATGAAGCATGGAAGACCTGCCAAGGTCTTTCTGCTCCAACCACTCGTAAGCCATTCAGGGAATGGTATGCTATTGATCTTCACTGTGTGTGCTAAGGGTTCTCTGCATTTCTTTACATTCCCATCGGAAAGACTCATCCACCATCAGGGTTTTCAGTTCAGGAGTTAACTTCATTAGAATTGGCATGGCATTATAAAACTTTCTGACACCAAAACAGAACTTCACCTGAGACCAAACATAAACGTAGGCTGTGAAAGGTGCTTCCCCGGCAGAACTGGAATTCCCCTCATTAGTAGGGAATTCTCCTAGTCGGCCCCAAATGCATACCCTATACTCCAGAACACCTCAGTATTTTCTCTTTGCCTGGGTCCTTTATTCTGTTTTTTTCCAAGGTGTTAGACTTTGCACATGACAAGACAGCATCACGTGGTGGAGAGAATGCTGGAGCAGAATTCCAGATATGTCAGAGTCATTTCACATCTTTATATCTCAATTTTCTCAACTACAGAACATGGTGAGGGGCTTCCCTGGAGGTTCAGTGGTTAAGACTTTGTGCTTCCAACACACTAGTTCAACCCCGATTGTTGTTGCTGTTGTTCAGTCTTTGTGACCCTGGCCTCCCTATCCTTCACCACCTCCCGGAGTTTGCTCAAACTCACGTCCACTGAGTCAGTGATGCCATCCAACTATCTCA